CAAGATATTGGTCAAATCAAAGATTGGTGTAAGAGCGTCTGCTAAATTACTAAAATGTAAATGTTTATCTCAGTGCATTGATCTATAAGAAACCTCAGAAAACCAGAAACAAGGGCATTCGATTTGTGGCCAATGGACTGTCATTGGGTGCACCACTGATGCATGTTGGCAGCCTAGTCTCATAGGCTAGGCGTAACATAGTATATGTAAATACGAAAAACTCTAATTAGTATGATATGTTACATTTGGGATGGTTACATAAGACAAAAGGTTACTTAAGGCAAAAACAAAAGTAGAGTGGTTGGTTGGGGTGCATGTAAGTAAGTAGCCTTGCACGAGCCAGAATGGCTCATAGGAACAGGAGCCTATCTCCTGTTTCTGTAGCGTGAGGCAGCTTGATGTACAAGTACCCCCCCCCCCCCCCTGAACAGGAACTCATTAACCTTTTCACATGTGAGTTCCAAATATCTCTAACGGTCGCCCCAGCGTGAGTTGTTTTATGCACATGATGCCAGGATGCACTCACTGTCCCAAAATGTGATTGTTATGCAATAGGACAGTTAACGTGCTGCCTGCTAATTATCTATAGGCTATGTTTCAACTTGTCCATTTCAAATTATTTTCTAACAAGTTGTATTTTCTAACAACAGTTTGAATTGAGGTGTGTTCCACCTCCTCATTAATTTACATAGAAGTAGCCCATTTCAGTGTTGCGGACAATTTATGTTTGAGGCTTTTACTGAGCCGGATAAACTTCCCTCTTCGAGTAGAGCCCTTCCCCATTTTTTCTGCACATCAAGTATGCAGACATTTGCGCAGTCTTCCATGAAATGGCACATTTTCTGGCTGGCGCAAGCATTATTGCATTGTTGTTTTCCTTACAAATAATACCTTTGGACATGTTTGATTTCCTATCAAAGTAAGTGCCTTATTTTCTGTATATCGTGTTGTCGTTTCTACTGTAGCATACAGTATGTATGTATGTAGCATAATGTATTTACAGTTTTATTCACGTTTTCAAGTACTGGTGACAAATAATGCATTATCGCATAGATTGTAATGGACACCTATGATGTGTGTAAAATACTTTTTTGGTATTTTGTTGTACTGATTATAATGAGCTAATGCTAAGCTATTTGCCAGCTATGTGTGGCGTCATGTTTGTTGACATTGTACAATGCATTCTGGGTGTCACGTAAACGTCTGTCAGACCAAAGATGTTATAATGAGGTGAAGGAATGGTTCACTCATCTTTCGGGTAAACTTCCGGAAGTGAATGAAGGGAAGTGAATGATCGTAGACGACACACCCCCTTCAACATGCATACTGCAAACAGACCAAACTCATCTTGTCTCCTCTTATTATCTTTGGTTGATGCGAAAAAACTAACATTGTGGTGCGCACAAACTACCCATCGTCGGATTACTTTTGATTTCTAGAAAGTGTTTTACTCAATTATTTTGATCAATGTTGAGCTCAACCGTGATGGGATGAATTATAAATGGTAATTGCTATTAGCTAATTCATATTGTGGTTTCTGTCAGCCGAGAGTTATCTAAATATGACCACTTGTGTTACGTCCATTATTTCCTCAGTTAGCACTAGGACTTATGTAGCCTACATTTTTCGATTTGGATGATTTTGTATGCTGTCGCTACTTCTGTGAATGTCTGAACATTGCATCCAAAAATAAACTGGTCACATTCAGGACATCATTTTGTAAGGAATGTGTTTGTGCAAAATATTTATTTGAAAAAAAAAACAACGTGGCTAGCTCTAATGCTGACTGTTGCATCAATTGAAACTGGACGTTCTAAATAAGCGTTCTAATCAAACCAGTTTGATCGTACGCTGCAGGGACCACTGTAGAATGATCACACCCATTTGTTGGTACGTGTGAAAAGGTTAATGCTAGCGCTAGCCACCTAGCTAACGTTAGCCACAACAACATTTAGCAAATTCTGAACATATTGTACAAATTGCAATTCGTAACATATTGTACGAATTGCAATTCTCAACATATCATACGAATTGTAATTTGTAACATATCATAAAAAAATGATGATGGACATCCACAAATTAATACATACTATACTGAAGAATAACATATCATTCTAATTGGAGTGTGCTATATTTAGTTTATTATGTTATGTCTACCCCTGAGTCCAGGTTGACATTTGCTATGATATTCACCACATCCATTGCTGTGGATGCTTCACTGAGTGCGTCTAGGGAGATCAATAAACCTCGTGAGGCCAGCTGGCCTGTGGATTCTTCCCGAGTAGCCTACTCAAAAACATCCATAGAGACAAAATCCCCCTTTTTTTTTTTTTTTTTGAGAGAGAATCTTGAACATGAGAGGAACAAACACCGCAAACATGAAGAAAACGTATTTCATAATACAGTCTGTCGAACAGACAGCAGTTAGGAGAGGACCTTCTCTACAGCTAGCTTCTTGACAGGCACAGCTCCACATCAAAATGTGATTCAGTGAAGTCATAATTTATGGAGGTTTAGGGGGATATGGTCAAATAAATCAGTCAGTCAAGGCCTGTCACCTGATATCTAAAACATGACCTGAATGAAATATTCCATGGCGCACTGACTGACTGTATAGCCTACACCAGGCTGCCGGGACAGGGTGTTGCACGCTTCCCTCATCTCCACTAGTCTATATTTCGGGGAGGTAATGACATATCAAATAATATTCGTCTAAATAATTGGTGCACTAGGCCTACATATAGTTGCATTAACATTTAATTGCCCCGCGGCATTTAATGATTGGTCATTAATTGAACACAATTAACCTATAAAGCAAAGATGATACATAATATATATATATATATATCAATAATAAATGGCTTCAATGCTCATCTTGTAGTCTAATGATTGAAGGTATGATTGAAGGGAATGTGTGACACAAAAGTGCAAGTCCACCATCGTCTGGTGGCAGTGGTAGGTTAAACCCACCCTCGACCCTGGGTACCTCTGCCTGCCCTGCATCCATCAGAGGCGCCACGGAACCAGCTCAGAAGTTCTCCCATCTAAGATCCTAATAGCTTTCCATACCTTTAGAAAATAATACATCCACGTGCTTACAATAACAATGTTTATGTACCACATTGCGTTCAAACGCGCTCACACATAGCAATACAATATCATAACTAAAAAGAGGGAAACTCCTATAATTTACCTTCCACTGCGTAAACCGTAGCAATCACGCATAAAATCGCAAACAAATCCACTGGCATGGCAAAGGTGGTCTGCCTTTCCTCTCCCTTTTAAAAAGGTGTAAACACAAGTCCTTCAGTTGCCACAGAATAGTATTCCACCAGTGCTTATTTTGAGTCACATTTCAAACCGTACTGTACGCAGTGTATGAAAACCTAATACTTGGAGGCTTGAGGCACGAAATGAATAAGTGAAGCGGGATGCGAGAAAGACCTTGGGCCCACTCCCCTCCACACCACTTCTCACACCCCTTTAACACCTCGTGGCCAATCACGGAAAGAAGATAGCGGATCTCAAACCAATCACAACGGAGAACCAGCTCAGAGTCCTACTAACATTTTCAAACTACTGAAAAGCCCCCTGCGTTGCCGTGCGCTCATAGTGCAGGGAAAGAGCAACGACTAGTGGTCCAGAGAAAGTACTGCATGCACAGTTTCACCTGATAGGTGTTTTTAATCAGATTCATTTCAGTGATAAATGGTCTATGGAGATAATGTGATTGCATTTGACCCTTTATTTCTCATCCTAAGCAGTCCATGGTGTTTATGGCTATGCATAGTCACGAGAGCTATTTCCATAGCCCATCGTGAGATACGGAATTGTCACCTGTAATATCTCTATTTGATGAGAATAAAACCCATCACATGCAGGACAGCGACCAAATTAAACATGTATATCTTCCTTCCTTTACGATAGACCAACTAGTTGATTAAGTAGGCTCGTAGATTTATGAATGGTTCATGCTCTGCAGGAGACTATGGCAGATTTAAGAGTATTTTCCAACAACTGGGTCCATTACCGTCATCATGGCTCTGCATATTAATTTTGAACTTGTACATTGAAGCGAGAAACTGTTAACCTATGAAATGGTTTGGATTTACGTGTGCAGTAGTGCAGTAGTTATAATATGAGATATTATGACCCTGCAGTTGGATCACAGGGGAAAGACCACTTTACCACCCAATCAATCACTTTTAGCCTTCTTCACATGAGGAAGAGAATAATGTTTGTGTTTGTGTGTGTGTGTGCGTGCGTGCGTACGCATAAGTCACACACTACAGAACATTAAGAATGCTGGTTTATCTAAATGTGTGTTGCTTTATTAAGTGGTAATCAATTATTCTTTGTGTTTGCAACATGAGTATACATTAATTACAGGCCATAAGCCAACTATAAGAGTATAAATAATTATTTTCTACCACTGATGTCCTCTATACCTTTCCCTTTCGCTATACAAACACCTTGAAAGTGGGTTGCCAGCATGAATATTAATTGTGCTGCAGTTCACTGTACTTGCTGCTATGTTCTAGAATCAAATTGAATTAATATGATAAGTATTTAGCTAAATGTAGAACATTTCACATGTTGTAATAGTAATTTGGGTAATAAAAATAAATAGTGTCTAAATGCATATAGTGTTGCATTTAATGTAATATGTATTCATAATTTCATAGTCAATTGTGGCTCCTACTACCCTTCCAAGAGCCTGAGACTCAGCAGCCCAGGCAGACAGACAGACCACACAATAATGTAGGCAGGGTGTGCCAAGAGCCAGTGCTCTGCCCCCTCACATCCCACTGTGTGGCACTGAAGAGCTGTACTACTGGCACAAGGTAGCAAAACTCTCCCCCGCTCCCATCCACACACAAACACACGTATAGTGTGTGCTGCTACATTAGTTCACCCATTTGTCTTCATTAGCACACCTCACACATGCTCCCATTACATTTCTCCCTTAATTGGCAGATCTGCGGCTATTACACGTACATTTATATATTTGCTGGCTGCCCACCCCCATTCCTATTTCCTCCCCCAGCCTGACTCCCCTCCCCCTTCCCTGCCTCCCCATTATGAGGTGCCTGCTCTAACAGATGGCATACTCGCAGCTCCTCCTCCCCTCCCCAGGGACACTGACGGACACAGGGCCTGCTGACGGAGCCTTATAAGCTCTTATCAATACAGCAGCTCCACTCAACTGCTCTACTTTCAATTACAGCCCTGTGCTGACTCTGTGGAGCTGGCTGACCTGCCACACAGACATCTTTAGATGGCAGCAACCAGATAGTGTTGAAAAACATTTCTGCGCCCAGTCCTTCACACAGCTGCACATAAACACACAGAGATGCACCCCCTGCGCACACACACAAATACACATACACACAATTGATATAGCTATCAGCTCAAGGTAGCTAACCAGTGGTACAGAAGGCCCAGAAACAGAAGCCATGTATGAAACAGATGCATGAGATAGGTCAGCGCTTGAATACTATACCACAGTTATACAACTCCACAACACTATCACTGAACCTTTCAGAGGTCCTCTCCTACTACCCTTCCTCTTTAGAACCCTCCAACATTCCTTCACCACAATCTCCTCACACAACTTCCCCTTTTTACACAGGACCCCATGTAAATAGGATGTGTGTGTGTGTGTGTGTGTGTGTGTGTGTGTGTGTGTGTGTGTGTGTGTGTGTTTGTGGATGCGTGCGTGCGTAAGTCACACACTACAGAACATTATGAATGCTGGTGTATGTAAATTTTTGTTACTATATTAAGTGGTAATCAATTATTCTTTGTGTTTGTAACATGAGTATACATTAATTACAGGTAATAAGCCAACTATAAGAGTAAAAATCATTATTTCTACCACTGGGCATTATGCAGATAAATATTATTTCATTCATTTATTTATTCAGCTCAAAATCTCCCCGTTGCTTGATCAGATCGTCAAAGTCACTTTCAGTATGCACAAAGAAGTCTTGAATATGCTCAAGGTCCAATGAAAGAGTCCAATGACCTCGGACTCACAGGGCTTGTGTTGAACTCTGTGTGTGACGTTCCTGTAGGGTTCAATGACCAGGAGCCCAGACATGCCATTGGATTTTGCCAACGATGAGGTCTCCTGAATATTTATCTGTAGGAAGTCTATATAAGTCCTTATCAAGTCATTGCTACGGAGTTGATAGTACTGGCTCAGCACATCTAAAGGGCCTTCTGGTAAGGCAGTTAGACGGAACCTATGGATCCGTATGTGCATGTGGAACGCTGCCCCGTTCAGCCACTGTTTCATGCCAGCAGAGCTCATGCTACTCTCAATGACCAACTTCCTATAGACGTTATCCAGTTCATGTTTAAGCTTTTGGTCATAACGTTCTAGGAGCTCTGCCATCCTCTTCTTATCATTGGCTATACCGGGAACTTGCTTTAGGTACTCACTGATGATAAGGCCGATTTCTGAAGCGTAATCTGCTCCAAAGATCCTCCGTATGGGGTCCATGTACGACCTTTGCTCATGGATCTGGTGAGTCAAGACCTCAAAGAGCAGTGATAGTGCCAGCGCCACAATCCCCAGACCTCCCAGGCTCACCTTGGTGCTCCCTCCAAATGCAGTTAAACACTGTTAGTTGCTCAGCCGACATATTCTGCTGGATGGCTGAATATCGATGTTCCAGAGCAGCAGTCGAGTTGCAGGATAAGAAGTTGGTGAGGGTTCTGTCCAGGGAGATGTCAGGAACGATGCCTGCATGGCTGGCTACCTCAAACAGACAGTTCATAGTTTCTGAAGATGGACTGCATTCTTTGTTACCAATGTTTGGGTTGTGCTGTCTGTCTCACACACTCTTCTTTCCTAAGACTTTGTCAAATACTACCTGTGTATTTAAACACATGATGGGCTCAGAGTCTGAAGGTCATTGTCCCGGCTAGGACAAACATCTAATAACCAAACAGCGGAATGTAGGGTTATTAGATGTCTGCAAATCTTTCAGCCAATGAAAGATCAGGTTTTTGACTGATGCTGACTTCAGTGCAAACACAAACAGTACAGTCATGGTCAAAGGTTTTGAGAATGACACAAGTATTGGTCTTCACAAAGTTTGCTGCTTCAGAGTTTTTATATATATTTTTTCAGATGTTACTATGATATACTGAAGTATAATTACAAGCATTCCATAAGTGTCAAAGGCTTTTATTGACAATTACATTAAGTTTATGCAAAGAGTCAATATTTGCAGTGTTGACACTTCTTTTTCAAGACCTCTGCAATCCGCCCTGGCATGCTGTCAATTAACTTCTGGGCCACATCCTGACTGATAGCAGCCCATTCTTGCATAATCAATGCTTGGAGTTTGCCAGAATTTGTGGGTTTTTGTTTGTCCACCCGCCTCTTGAGGATTGACCACAAGTTCTCAATGGGATTAAGGTTTGGGGAGTTTCCTGGCCATGGACCCAACATTTCAATGTTTTGTTCCCCGAGTCACTTAGTTATCACTTTTGCCTTATGGCAAGGTGCTCCATCATGCTGGAAAAGGCATTGTTCGTCACCAAACTGTTCTTGGATGGTTGGGAGAAGTTGCTCTCGGAGGATGTGTTGGTACCATTCTTTATTCACGGCTGTGTTCTTAGGCAAAATTGTGAGTGAGCCCACTCCCTTGGCTGAGAAGCAACCACACATGAATGGTCTCAAGATGCTTTACTGTTGACATGACACAGGACTGATGGTAGCGCTCACCTTGTCTTCTCCGGACAAGCTTTTTTCCGGATGCCCCAATCAATCGGAAAGGGGATTCATCCGAGAAAATGACTTTACCCCAGTCCTCAGCAGTCCAATCCCTGTACCTTTTGCAGAATATCAGTCTGTCCCTGATGTTTTTCCTGGAGAGAAGTGGCTTCCTCGCTGCCCTTCTTGACACCAGGCCATCCTCCAAAAGTCTTCGCCTCGTGCAAATGCACTCACACCTGCCTGCTGCCATTCCTGAGCAAGCTCTGCACTGGTGGCTCCCCGATCCCGCAGCTGAATCAATTTTAGGAGATGGGCCTGGCGCTTGCTGGACTTTCTTGGGCGCTCTGACGCCTTCTTCACAACAATTGAACCTCTCTCCTTGAAGTTCTTGATGATCCGATAAATGGTTGATTTAGGTGCAATCTTACTAGCATCAATATCCTTGCCTGTGAAGCCCTTTTTGTGCAAAGCAATGATGACGGCACTTGTTTCCTTGCAGTTAACCATGGTTAACAGAGGAAGAACAATGATTTCAAGCACCACCCTCCTTTTAAAGCTTCCAGTCTGTTATTCTAACTCAATCAGCATGACAGAGTGATCTCCAGCCTTGTCCTCGTCAACACTCTCACCTGTGTTAACGAGAGAATCACTGACATGATGTCAGCTGGTCCTTTTGTGGCAGGGCTGAAATGCAGTGGAAATGTTTTTTGGGGATTAAGTTCATTTTCATGGCAAAGAGGGACTTTGTAATTAATTGCAATTCATCTGATCACTCTTCATAACATTCTGGAGTATATGCAAATTGCCATCATAAAAACTGAGGCAGCAGACTTTGTGAAAATTTATATTTGTGTCATTCTCAAAACTTTTGACCACGACTGTACATACATTTTTGCTGACACAGACTCAGAGCCTGGTTACACAATGCAGTCTTTATCTAGCCATCCCAAAATACAAAAATCACCACATCAAATTATATGATACCACCACCACCTTTGATGCTACCACTACACCCTTTAAATGAACTTTTATTCCATTACTCCAGATTGCAGATATCATTAAAATCACCTTAATTACCATCATGATTTACTATTCTTTTTTTGACTATTAATTACTTTTCTGCAATTCAAAACCTTCCCGTTGGTTGATCAGTTTATAAAAGTAATGTTCAGACTGCAGAAAGAAGTCTTTGCTGTTTTCAATCTCCTGAGCAGCAATGATCCGGGTCAGCAGAGCGTCTCCAATGACCTTGGACTCACAGGGACTGTGTTGAACTCTGTGTGTGACGTTCTTGTGGGGCTCAATGACTAGGAGCCCTGGCATGCTGTTGGCTCCTGGCTCTGGTGGTGTCTCCTGGATATTTTTGCGTAAGTGGGCTGTATAGAGCTTGACCAGGCTGGTGAACGCAGTCTTGTAGGAGAGACGCAGTGCTTCTGCTGAGCCTCGTGGAACAGAGCCCAAGCGGATCTCATGGATCCTCATGTGCAGGTGGAAAGATGCCCCACACAGCCACTGTTTCATGGCCACTGACCCCATGCGTCTCTTGTTTGTCATCCTCTCAAAATGGTCAATCAGCTCATTCTTCAGGTACTGGTCATAGAGCTCTGTCACCTCCGCCATCTTGTTCATGTCATTGGCTATCTCAGGGACCAGCTTCAGGTATTCACTAATGAGGGACCCAATTCTTGAGGAATTGCTGATTCCAAAGATAATTTTGGTAGGGTCCATAGCATTCTTGTTGTCCCCTTGCCTTTTTGCTTTGTGGGCTAAGACATCAAAGAGTAGGGACAGGGCTAGTGCCACAACACCCACACCCCCCAATGCCACCTTTGTGCTCCCTCTCAATAAAGACATCAGGTCCTGGTTGAAAACAGTTAGTTGTTCAGCAGACAAGTGTTGCTGAATGTCTGCATGCTGTTGTTCGAGAGTAGCACTTGAGTCCAGGGATAGGAAGCTTTGCAGTGTGTCATCCAGAGAGATATCAGGAACCAAGCTGCCTGCCCTGGCAATTGAGAACAGGTTGTCTATGGTTGCCGAAGAAGGAAGGCATGAAGTGATGCTTCTGAGCAGCATTATTCTCTTTCAGTAACTATCTTACTATTACTCTCTATATCACCTACTTTCTGGTGATTTCACTCTCATCTCAGCATCCGTAATATAATGATGAAACTAAATTACACTGGCTGTGTATTTGAACAGCAAGTCTGTGGAGGACATTGTCCTGTGAAAGTAAATATTTGTTGACCCTTTTGGAGTTCATGGTATGAACCAACTCAAAAATAATATACTGTGAAATGTACCATTTGAAAAAATAAGTAATCTGATGACATGAAACAACAGAAAACAGGCCAGCACCACTGCAAATTAGATACATCATTATTCTCTCAATGTCACATTATATTTTAAAATGTGTTGGCAGCTGTAATTCATAGAAAAACACTTTATTGGAAAAGTAGCAGGCCTGAAAGTGGCAGATGATCCAGGATGTAAAGGGTAAACAGCAACACTCCTGGGAGCTGTGGCCCAATAAAAGAAACCTCCTCGGTTTTCAACTACACACAAATTATTTTGCAAAATAAAATATGGTGAAGTAGGCTAGAATTTCCTTTCTTTTTGGCATCAGACCTTCCTAATTCTCACTTGAAACATAATTGTTACTGTTTAATAGGCTAAATTACATATTCCGTTAACATCTGACTCCAGAGTGATCTGTCTTGCAATTTGTAGTCTATGACATTTCAGATTCAGATAATATCATTTATCACCAAGTAGTTTGGACGAAGTGAACTACTTTTTCAAAGTAACTTTAGTTTAGTAAACTATAATTTTCTTAATGGTAGCTTTAGTGTAGCTTAACTTCTTCCAGTGTGAAGTAATTGGTAGTCCCGTACAGTTTTTGAATGGGCGTCAAGCTTATATCATCAAATCAAATCAAATTTTATTGGTCACATACACATATTTAGCAGATGTTATTGCGGGTGTAGCGAAATGCTTGTGTTCCTAGCTCCAACAGTGCAGTAGTATATAACAATTCACAACAATACACACAAATGTAAAAGTAAAAGAATGGAATGAAGAAATATATAAATATTAGGACGAGCAATGTCGGAGTGGCATTGACTAAAATACAGTAGAATACAATACAGTATATCCATTTGACATGAGTAAAGCAGTATGTAAACATTATTAAAATGACTAGTGTTCCATTATTAAAGTGGCCAGTGATTCCATGTCTATATAGGGCAGCAGCCTCTAAGGTGCAGGGTTGAGTAACCGGGTGGTAGCCGGCTAGTGAAAAGGTGGTCATTTAAGATATTATGTAAAATTATATTTGTATTCATGGATTAATTTACTTCTACCTCATGCCTTTTATTAAGGTTTCGATCGCATATATAAAAAGTAAAAAAATAATTGTAATCGAAAACCTTCATAAAAAAAGGCAGAACTTTCATAGGATATACTTGTGTTGCAGGCAATTGCTACCTTTTGCTTTGAGATCTGAACCTCGCTGACTCCATGGTTTTGTTTTCTCTGCACGCGCGCTCTCAGAGGGACCGACCAAGATTTGATCATATTTGACATGTAATGTACTGGGGTGTAATCACTAGCCAAACAGTTAAAACAAGAGTTTCTATTGAACAAATTCAGGTAGGCCCATTCTCGTTTCATTCCGTTTGCTTCCGTTTAAGAATGACTGAATACGCCCCTGGATTGAAGGGATTTATACAAAATGTTGAGAGTTCACATCAAGGCGTTCTTGGCCACAGCATTTCAACAAGAAAGCTACAAGAATGTAAGGATTATTTATAAACGGTTACAGATTCAGGCAAGCAGAATCTGTAGAGAACGCACAACTGTTTGTGAATGACAAAACAATTGGCTGCCCATCGTTGTCAAGACAACCTACACTGACTGACAGACAAACCACCCGAAGACAGACAGGGAAGGATTTTTAAAGGTTAATGGAAACTTGTTTGGTCAGCTAATGTTTGTAATTTAATGAAAGCCTACTATTCCAGTGGGCTATTCCACAAAATAATACAGTCTGGGTATAATGCCAACTTCTACAGGCGTTGCACCAGAAGCATCCCACTGATCACGCTCTCCGTAGCCGATGTGAGTAAGACCTTTAAACAGGTCAACATTCACAAGGCCACGAGGCCCGACGGATTACCAGGATGTGTACTCAGAGCATGCACGGACCAACTGGCAAGTGTCTTCACTGACATTTTCAACCTGTCCCTGGCCGAGTCTGTAATAGCTACATGTTTCAAGCAGGCCTTGTGCCCAAGAATGCCAAGGTAACCTGCCTAAATGACCACCGCCCGTAGCACTCACATCTGTAGCCATGAAGTGCTTTGAAAGGCTAGTCATGGCTACATCAACACCATCATCCCGGAAACCATAGACCCACTCCAGTCGGCACACCGCCCCAACAGATCCACAGATTTCGCAATCTCAATTGCACTCCACACTGCTAATCCCACCTGGACAAAAGGAACACCTATGTGAGAATGCTGTTCATTGACTACAGCTCAGCGTTCAACACCATAGTGCCCACAAAGCTCATCACTAAGCTAAGGACCCTGGGACTAAACACCTCCCTCTGCAACTGGATCCTGGACTTCCTGACGGGCTGCCCCCAGATGGTAAGGGTAGGCAACAACACATCTGCCACGCTGATCCTCAACACAGGGCTTCAAGTTCCTTGGTGTCCACATCACCAACAAACTATCATCATATATGGTCCAAACACACCAAGACAGTCGTGAAGAGGGCACGACAATGCTTATTCCCCCTCAGGAGACTGAAAAGATTTGGCATGGGTCCCCAGATCCTCAAAAAGTTATACAGCTGCACCATCGAGAGCATCCTGACTGGTTGCATCACCGCCTGGTATGGCAACTGCTCGGCATCCGACCGCCAGGCGCTACAGAGGGCAGTGCATACGGCCCAGTACATCACTGGGGCCAAGCTTCGTGCCATCCAGGACCTCTATATGAGGCGGTGTCAGAGGAAGGCCCAAAAAATTGTCAAAGACTCCAGCCACCCAAGTCATAGACTGTACTCTCTGCTACCGCAAGGCAAGCAGTACCGGAGGTCCAAAAGGCTCCTTATCAGCAACTACCCCCAAGCCACAAGACTGCTGAACAATTAATCAAATGGCTACCGGGACTATTTGCATTGACCTGCCCCCCTTTTTTTTACACTGCTTTTTTGTATTATCTATGCATAGTCACTTTACCCCTACCTACATGTACACTACCAGTCAAAAGTTTGGACACAACATTCATTCACAGGTTTTTCTTAATTTATACTATTTTTTACATTGTAGAATAATAGTGAAGACATCAAAACTATGAAATAACACATATGGAATCATGTAGTAAACTAAAACGTGTTAAACGAATCAAAATATATTTGAGATTTGAGATTCTTTAAATAGCTTTGCACACTCTTAGCATTCTCTCAACCAGCTTCACCTGGAATGCTTTTCCAACAGTCTTAAGGAGTTCCCACATACACTGAGCACTTGTTGGCTGCTTTTCCTTCACTCTGCGGTCCAACATCCCAAACCATCTCAATTTGGTTGTGGTCGGGGGATTGTGGAGGCCAGGTCATCTGATGCAGCACTCCATCAATCTCCTTCTTCGTAAAATAGCCCTTACACAGCCTGGAGGTGTGTTGGGTCATTGTCCTGTTGAAAAACAAATTATAGTCCCACTAAGCCCAAACCAGATGGGATTGCGTATTGCTGCAGAATGCTGTGGTAGCCATGCTGGTTAAGCACCCCCACACCATAACACCTCCTCCTCCATGCTTTATGGTGGGAAATACATATGCAGAGATCATCCGTTCACCCACACCACGTCTCACAAAGACACAGCGGTTGGAACCAAAAATCTCCAATTTGGACTCCAGACCAAAGGACACATTTCCACCAGTCTAATGTTTCTTGGCCCAAGCAAATCTCTTCTTATTATTGGTGTCCTTTAGTAGTGGTTTCTTTGCAGCAATTCGACCACGAAGGCCTGATTCACACATTCTCCTCTGATCAATTGATGTTGAGATGTGTCTGTTACTTGAACTCTGTGAAGCATTTATTTGGGCTGCAATTTCTGAGGCTGGTAACTCTAATGAACTTATCCTCTGCAGCAGAGGTAACTCTGGGTCTTCCATTCCTGTGGCGGTCCTCATGAGAGACAGTTTCATCATAGCGCTTGATGGTTTTTGCGACTGCACTAAGTTATTGAAATGTTCCGTATCGACTGACCTTCATGTCTTAAAATAATGATGGACTGTCATTTCTCTTTGCTTATTTGAGCTGTTCTTGCCATAATATGGACCTGGTCTTTTACCAAATAGGGCTATCTTCTGTACACCCCCCCCCCCCCCCCCCCCCCCACCTTGTCACAACACAACTGATTGGCTCAAATGCATTAAGAAGGAAATAAATTCCACAAATTAACTTTTAAGAAGGCACACCTGTTAATTGAAATGCATTCCAGGTGACTACCTATTGAAGCTTGTTGAGAGAATGCCAAGAGAATGCAAAGCTGTCATCAAGGCAAAGGGTGGCTATTTGAAGAATCTCAAATATAAAATATATTTTGATTTGTTTAACACTTTTTTGGTTACTACATGATTCCATATGTGTTATTTCATAGTTTTGATGTCTTCACTATTATTCTACAATGTAGAAAATAGTTTAAAAAAAAAGAAAAACCCTTGAATGTAGGTGTTCTAAAACTTTTGAACGGTAGTGTATTTTCTCAACTCTTATTACCTAAAACTGCATTGTTGGTTATGGGCTTGTAAGCATTTCATGGTAAGGTCTACACCTATTTTTTTGGTGCAGTCCGGACCGGCCTTGATTTCAACATCCACGGACGTTGATTTTTGGTCCGGACCAAATCTGAACAATCATAGACGTCTATGTTTGGTTCAGATTTGGCCCGGTCCAGATCGGCCTTGATTTCAACGGCCACAGACAGACCAGCCTATATTTGGTCCAAACATAGACATCTATAATTGGTTCAGATTTGATCTGGTCCAGACCGGCCTTCATTTGG